GAGATGCAGAGTAACAGCCGAGCCGTTTTTTTTTTTTTTTTTTTAATTGCCGTGCGTTGTACCCTGAGTTTATTTATCACATATAGAATTCACTATAAATGAACCTCCCTTATCATTATCCCGAATCACTCATTTCCATCTTCCGCATCCTCACCATCCTTCTTTTTAACTATTCCGTATAAACTTCCTTCGTTTACTCTAGTGCGCTTTTCCTCTCGGTCCTCTTCTTCCTCCTCGTCTTCCTCCTCGTCTCCCTCCTCTTCGTCTTCCTCGTCTTTTGCTGATTTCTTAGAATCTTCTTGCTTTGACTTACCCTGTTCCTTTTCTTCGTCCTCCTTCTTTTCGCTCTTCTTCGCTTCTTTCTCTTTTACCTCTTCTCCCTCTTCTTCTTTCTCAACTTTCTTTGACCTCTGCTTTTCAGTCCTTGTTGCTTCCTTTTTCTTGAGCTTTTTCTCCTTATTTGCTTCTGAAGGAAAAATCATGACTCTCTAAGGCTTAACCGATACAGTTTAAAATACAGCTCATGCGGTGATTTTCAAAACCAAGAGAGGTCGACAAATGCAGCAACAAAGACAAAATTAAAAGGAAACGTGGATAGGCGCATCGATCTTAATGCATTACCGGTCACTGGGAGTTCGAAATAAATTTTTTGGTAGGGAAAGAGACAAATAACTTCTATCCCTCCAAAGTTACATTCTGACGGATATCCGTGGATACACCAGAAGTGAAGAAACTGCGCACCGTCCGATGTCCCCTTTACGGCTTCATCGCTTGCTTTGAGAGCTCCTTGTTTTGTTTCCTTATCGTCTTTTACGACCACTTCTTTAAATAAGATCTTGATTTGTTGGCGAACCGCGCCAATACTTGTCTAAAAGCAAGTAAGCGATGTTAATATTTGAAAGATTTACTGTCCGTCAATTCCTGAAAGTTTAGATTTTAAGTATTGATTTTGACTTTCACACAGCTGTCAATATTTCACCCTGCGTATTCATGGCAGTATTGGAAAAAACCCTCTTTGCTATTAAATTCCAACATTCCTTGCTTCGAAAAAAACAAAACGTCGAACTTCCGTCTTCTTATCAAAGCTCTCATGATGAAGAATCTACTCATCCTGCCAGCCGGATATGCTTCAAACGCCTTCGTAAAAAACGTTCCTTGAACCAGGCTATTAAAATGAGACATGCTCCAGCATCGGCCAAGAATACCTCCGATTTATTGCTTTCTTTCCAGGATTTCCATGTTTCTACTGGCTTACTGCATTTGTCTGGTGCTGGTGCCATCACAACTGTAAAATGATCATTCTTCTTTGGTTTCATATTTGAATCCCATTTCTTCAACGTCAACACGACCTTTTCCTGCAAATTTGTCTGGAAAAGTGTTAAAGGAATTTAGTCCCAAGAATGCCTACGTTTTTGTCATGGCGACATTTCTACGTCCTCCCACCCAAACTGTAACGAGGAGGATCTATGTGGGGTGCAGCTGTGGAGGGACGCACACCAAACTAGTAAACAATACTTTAAAACAACAAAAAATAAATGGCCAGCGCACCGACTGCCAATGCGAAGATGCGTTTTTTGCATAGTTCCCCGCAGATTTCTGTCGCTAATGGCATCTTTTTTCGGTAAATGTTTCTAGCTAAAAGAACTGAGATTAGCCAATAGGACTATCAGAAAACATTCCCTTAAAATTCCATCTTCTAACTTTTCAGGTTCCCGAGTTAGCAACTTACCGAAAAAAATTTCACGGGTCCGTACGTGGGAATTGCGCACAACCAGGGCTGGATTTGAACTCATCAATACTTACATAAATGGGGAACATCTCCTTAAAATTTCAGCTTCCTAGCTTTTATAGTTCCCGAGTTAGCAGCTTCCCTCCAAAAACTTTGGCGGGCCCGCACGTGCATGATGATCAAGTTCCCAAAGTTTCAGCCCTATAGCTTACATAGGTTTTGAGATGAAAAATCGGTACGAACGCACACACACCCCCGTAA